CTCTGGGTTTGGGTGCTATCCCTCAGCTCTTCAGCTCAAGGCAAGCACTCTACCGCTTGAGCTACAGTGCCACTTCCAGTTTTCTAGTGGTTTATTGGAGATAAGAGTCTCACGGACTTTGACGCCCGGGCTGGCTTTGAACCATGATCCTCAGATCTCAGCCTCCTGAGTAGCTACAGGCGTGAGCCACAGGTGCCCGCCTATGAGTACATTTCTTATAGGGCATTATTACCCCCTCCTACTATCCTTTCCCTACCCCACCTCCCCCACTCCCCCATGAATGTTTTGCTTGAGCTGGCAACTTTTTGCCTGAATGGTGACGCTTCTAATCTTGGTATCCTAAGTAGCTAAGATTCTAGGCATGAGCCATTAGCACCTAGTACTACCATATTTCTAAAAAAAGACAGAGAGAGAGAGAGAAAGAGAGAGAGGGAGAGACAGAGAGAGGTAGAGAGAGAGAGATAGAGAGAGGAAGAGAGAGAGGGAGAGAGAGACAGAGACAGAGAGACACACAGAGACACAGAGAGAGACAGAGCCAGACAGAGAGAGAGACAGAGAGAAAGAGGGAGAGGGAGAGAGGGAGAGAGAGGGAGAAAGAAGAAGAGAGAAGGAGAAGGAGAGAGGGAGAGAGAGAACAGGAGAGAGGGGGGAGAGTGAGAGAAGAAAGAGGGCTGGGAAGGTGGCTCAGTGGTGGAGCGCTTGTCTTAAATGCATGAGGCCCTGGGTTTGATTCCTCAACACCACATAAGCAGAAAAAGCTGGAGGTGGTACTGTGACTCAAGTGGTAGAGTTCTAGCCTTGAGCTGAAGAGCTGAGGGACAGCGCCCAGGCCAAGAATTCAGGCCCCACGACTCACACACACACACACACACACACGAAGAAAGAAGCAAATGGAAATTTTTAGTAGGGTCACTATATTTGACTTATGGAAAGATTTATCAACAAAGCACTAAGGACAGATAATTTTTATAATATCTCAGTGACATTTTCAGCTAATAACTTGGAATGATATGGTAGCTAAATGAAAAAAAAGTTAGCCTAAAAATCTCTGGAAATGAAATTCTTTACAACAATTTAAATTAATCTAGAAATTCTTTTACAATCATCATCATATGTCAGTTTCAAAAGTCTGACAAAAAGATAAATCATATACTATCCTGGGATACTAAAGGGGAATAAGAGACTTAAAGAGACTTGAAAGAAGAAAGGGTCAGAGACCCAGTTATTTTCCTCTTAGTAACTTTTGTAACATCTATGTCGTAATGAGAGACAAAGATAGGAACTCAAATGGAGACCATAGCCATGTAATCTTTTTCTTTGGATCTTTCTATAAAGGCTAATGCTCTTAATGTTGATGCCTTAATTCTCACTGAATTCTCTTATTAGAATATTGACCTAATTGTGAATTCCTTCTAGTCAGGCTATGTATCCCTTCCTTTATTCCCATTCTTGTAGTTCCCACTCATTCAATTGAGCTTACTTCTATTTTGTTTGATGTGCTGACCTTTGAGAACCTTATTCTGTTCCTTCTCTAATGGTTTGCCAACTCATGAATGATCCAAAGGAATCTGATATTTCATGAAATACTCCTCTTTCCATCATTTCATTTGTTGAACACAGGTTTCATGCTATTTAATGATCATGGCTTATCTCACTAGTTTAAGTACCGGATTAAATGAAATATTGTATAGATCTTTTTTTGTTGTTGTTGGTCATGGGGCTGGAACTCTGGGCCTGAGAGCGATCCCTCAGCTCTTCAGCTCAAGGCTAGCACTCTACCACCTGAACTACAGCGCCACTCCTGATTTTCCGGTGGTTTACTGGCAATAAGAGTTTCATGGACTTTCTTGTGGGCTGGCTTTGAACCGCGATCCTCAGATCTCAGCCTCCTGAGTAACTAGGTTTACAGGTATGAGCCACGGGCACCCGGCTATTGTATAGATCATGTGTGTGTGTGTGTGTGTGTGTGTGTGTGTGTGTGTATCCTGGGTGACATCTCCATGAGCATGAATGTCATTTTCTCTATTAAGATTGTAAGTACTTAAAAATGAAGTGTTAGAGGCAACATGAAATTTTAGTCCAAACTGTGTTCAAATTATGCTGTTGCTCATAATTAACCTTTGCAGGTCAGTACAGCTCTCTGAGATCAACTTCTCTTTTTGCTAACACCCATAACCCAGACACTGGTGGTTCATGTCTATCATCCTAGCTATTTGGAAGCCTGAGATGGTTGAGCTCATGGTGCAAGGCCAACCCAAGTATGAAGTATTTTCAGGACACCATCTTAATGAAAACCTGAGAGCAATGTGTCTCATTAGTTATACTAATTATTGGGAAACCTAGCACAGAAAGATCAAGCATATATTTATGCACGTATACATATATGCCAGGTACAGTAATATATTGTAATGATACCTGTAATCCCAGCTACTTGGATAGATGTAAATGAAAAAAATCACCATCAGACACCAGCCCAGGCAAATAGTTAGTGAGACTTCATCTCAACCAATAAAGCTAAGTGTGCTGGTTCACCATCATCATCATATACACATGGGGGGCTTAAATATGTGGCTCATAATCTAGGTCAACTCAGGCAAAATCATGAGATCTTTCCTCCCAAATAGCTATAGAGAATAGGACTGGAGGTATTGCTCAACAGTTACCATGTCTCCCTAGCGTAGGAAAGGCCTGGGTTCAAACAAAGTAAATAAAGATACAGTCTCCTGTTATGTAATACAATAACAAATAATACTGTGTATGGCTGTGTGTATATGTGTTCACATAGCAAAAGTGACCTGCAATCATGTTTTTTTCCTGTTTTTTAGTAACACAATGTTGAACTCAATTTCCACATTTTTGTTAAATTAGATCTAATGATATTAAGAAAGTTTGGATGTCTAAGCTAATCAATACTCCTTGCAACATAGTAAACTACAAGAGCACTCATCTCAAAAAATTACTTAAATTACTAATGAGTCAAGGAAATGCTAAAGTCAGAAAAAAGATTCCATGTTGGGTTTTTGAATATGAAAAAGGTAGCTTCTGATCTGTCTTTGGTGTGTTTATTTCCTGTGAGTTATTTTATTGGACTTTGATTTTAATTAAGTAATTAACAGATTGACCGGTGCAAATTTTCTTAGGAGGAGGAATCCAAAAAATAGAAATGGAAATAAAGAATTTATGAAAATGAAACCTGATAGCTTGATAGGATATCTTAAATATTATGCAGTAGTGTATTTCTTTTGTACTAGTAAAACCAGAAGGATTTAAGCTCATCGCATTAATGACAGCAGCCTTATTAAATAGAAATGTGTCCTAACGCCAAAGAATCCAGGCTGATGTAGAGCACTTACTGGTAACGGGAGGCACTTAGATGTGACTCAGGCGGGTCTGTTTCTGATTGCACTGGAGTGGAATTCGCATGGTGACTCAGAGCATTGCAATGGGGTGTGAGCCTCTCTCCCGCCTGTGGTCAAGGCAGAAGACTCATTGCAGTGCAATCATCATGGCTCAGCCAGGAACACACAGTTAATTCCTCTTCCACGTTTTCTACTTAGCACTCACAGTTTCCCAAAGCACACGTGAGTTGGACACTTGGTCCAATTATAGTGTTTCAACTTATGTGTTGGCTCTGAAAATGACACCGAAGTCTAATTGCATAAAGAGCTTTGTAATTCCTTTCAAATTTATTCATCTAATTTTATGTTTCTGGGAGCTATCCATTCACTGAAGAAAGGAAGAACCTGCTTCATTTGGCCCATTTATTTAAGGGCCATTTCTCCCTTATCCGAATGCTTCATGTAAACCTTATTAGTTAATATATATAGCATAAAAATGTAGACGGAGGTAAGTAAACCATTTCCTAGTATGACCAATCATAAATTTACTCCATTTCCTGAGAAGAATCACTGCTGTTTCCTTATATCTACTTTTATTTGTGACTTTGATACTTAGCATTTGCTAAAGAACTTAGAAACAATATAACAACAGACAACATATCTTGATATAAACAAATAAACAAACTCCTCATTACACATTATGTTTTTTACATTGGCATGTCTTTTTTATACTTAAATGCCAAAATACTGTTACTTTACATTATTTGTCATAATAATTTATCTTATTTTCCTTTTTAAACCATGGTGTAAATATAGGTATGACTAGAATACCATATATATATGTATATGATACCCTACCAATCTACTCATTTCATTTCAATCATGAATAGTGCTAAAACATCTATTGTTTTACTCAGTAAGTCTGTATCAGCTTTTTCCAGGAAGATTTTTCTGCTTTCCTTACCAGCATTTGGCTCTTCCCCTTTGTACCCTCATGATACTCTATCCTACCCTACTTTGTTACCTGATTTCCTGTCTGTTTCCTTGAAAAGACTATGAGATATTTGTTTCTAAGGACCTTGTATTCATGTTTATTTTCTCAGCATCTAGGAAAAAAAAAATGCTTGGCACATAACTGATACTTCAAAAGATTCACTTGGAGAGTAAAGCTATTACTTATTATTACATTCAAGCTAAAACTATTAATCAATGACATTCCAATTATAATCACTTATAAGAAAAAAGTTTTCATCTAAAAACAATAAAACAACATCATTGTCTAATTTGACAAATAACATCATGACAATTCAAGTCAGTGACTATATATAATGATTTCACTTTCTCTGAGTATTTTAAAAGGCTTAATTTTTCTCAATATTTTGAATATTATTTGCATTCACTCATGGGCATTTCATATACAAAGTATTGAAAATGTTTTTGGTAATTAGATACTAAAAAGAAAATACTAGTGATATTTATATTTCAGAGTCTGGATCTTGATATTCAGAGAAAAGAGGTGTGGTATCGTTTTATATTGCGAATGGAAAGTCAGGAGTCTTATGAAACGTGATGCAGTTGCTTTCATGATATATTGTCAGACCAATAGGAGATTGTGAAGAGCTTTTATGGACAGTATAAATATTTTGAGCCGTAGGCATCACTACCAGCTGATATTTTCTTTCCTCAGGACCAGCTGTTCAAGAGCATCTCGGACCTGAGCCAGACACAGTTGAGGCTTGGATCTAACTAAAGACCGGCGCAGATTCTTCTGCAGCAATGTCGGTGTTAGAAGAAAGCCGACCATTTGCTCAACAGTTATCCAATGTCTACTTCACAATACTCTCACTTTTCTGTTTTAAGCTTTTTGTGAAAATCAGCCTGGCTATCCTCAGTCATTTCTACATTGTGAAAGGCAACCGCAAGGAAGCGGCAAGGATAGCAGCTGAATTTTATGGAGTAACTCAAGGACAAGGTAAGTTTATGACTACTCTCCTGTTTCAAGTAGAGTTGAACTGGCATTTAATCTGCACTCCAAGAAAACATCACATGTTTTCTTTATGGAAGATTCTGTACACTGTGAAGGAAAATTCTTGTAACTCACTCCATAGCTTCATGAAAAACAAAATTGTTTTATCTGTCTTAATGTTCAGGCTAAAATAAAGGCACCATTGAAAGAAGATAAATGCAGGCACACTATTAAAATATCTCTTTTCTCTTGAGAAACATTAAAAAACTTAAACACTGCATTTGCCAAGTCATGGTTTGAGAGATGAATTTTAAAGGTAACTGATTATATTTCAATGATTATGTAACATGAGCCAACATTTTAACATTTTGACAGCATTTAAATGAAATATTTAGCTCTATAGATGACCATGGTTTTTAAAGGGAGAGCAGTTAAGATTTTATTTTACACAATTTTATAATTTGATTCAAATTGAATTACCAATATGAATATTTATGGAATGTGGCTTCCTCAAGGGATTGCTATTGCTTTTGCTCAGTTGGTGAAAAAGTGATTGTTAAAAGATAGGAACATGAATTAACAAATTTCATATGTGTGCAGTCAAGTACATCTGTGTTTTCTTAAAATAAATTGAAATATGGGTGAAATGAAAATGATAACAGACTTCAAAATTTTGGAAAACCAGTTGAAGTAAAAATTATCGAGAGGATAGGATTTAAATGGTCATTTTAATTGCTGATAACATTTCAATGAATTCCTGATTTGAAATGAATCAGCCATGCATGAACATATCTCCAAGGCAATGAAAATATAAAGCGTTGAAACGTAGAATCACACAATTAGGAAGAGCACTTTAAGCTTTCTTTCTTAAAATTGAGTTTTCTACATTCTTCAATTTTTGATATAACTCACTTTAAAATCTAGGTTACCTTATTGGTATGTGGAAAGTTGAATGAAAATGCAAAATCTTTTGTGGTACTGAGATAGACAAGAGCATATTTTCTGAGAAAAAAATTGCTCTTGGGAAAAGTAAGGAATTTATATACTAACTGAATGTGACAAAACTCTAAATACTATGGAAAGCTCTGATGAGGAAAGTGAAATTTTGAGGATTTAGCAATATTCATTCCTTTATCTGCCAGCCTTACTGCACAACAGGCTTAACTATTTAAAGGTAAAATCCTTACTATGTAGTCCAATAGAAAATAATAAAAAAATCAAACATAGAAAACTAGGTTTTAAAACAAAACCCTTATTTCTAGATACAAGGTTGAACCAATCAGGAGATCATAAGATAGTAGAATAGCCTATAGCTCATTACCTCATAGTCAAATCTTGTGTGCTATAAGAATTACCTTACATAAAGCAATGTAATATAGAAGTAGTATGTTTATCTGTTCATACAAGGCAATGGATACTCCTTTTTTGTACATATTTACAAATAAAAAGAGACAGTCTTCCTATCTTTAGACTGACTTGAGTGTATTTTAGCACAGAAGGCACAGGCTGTATAAAATGGCTTCCATGTTCTTTCGGCTTTCATTCAACATTCTACCTTAGGATTGAATCTTAACATTCTAGGATTTTACTCCAAGATGGGATGAAAGGTATTAATTAGTATTCCTTAACAGAAAACACATTTCCTGGAAATATAAAATGGAAACAAAATTCTAGAAAGCTTTGTATCATTTTTAATGTTAAATTTATTTAACAAAACTCTTTGAAATCATACATTAGTCTTCAAGTACTCAGCAACAGATATGCATTGCGATTTTTATTCAGTTCAATCATGATTATAATGTCTAATTTTACAATAGAATTAAGAAAATAAGTCAGGAAACTTTTATTGTCTTCCTACTAATAGAGAAATCTTCCTTGCTGAGGAATTTACTATTTTTCTGTATTTCTTTTTTCAAAACTAGTTAAAGCATTTTAATTTTGTTTGTATCTTATCTTTAGATTGATTGATCAGGCGTAACTATTGCTGTTTAATCCAGCAATTTCCTCCTTCCTTGGAAGTATTATCACCTTCGTTCCACTTTGACTTACGTTTCTTATTCCTGCTTATAAGGCTGAGCCAGATTGTTCCTTGACACTTTGTGTGTGTGTGTGTGTAATTTTCCAAATTCCATGAAGTAAGAGCATTGTGTGTATTTTTCACATCTTTCCTAATTATAGATGACCCTGTTGTAAATAGTACTTTGATATACAATGAACGAATCTGTACTATTGTACAGAAGCTCATTGTATCAGATTCTTGGATGGTATTTTGTCTGTTTTTTTAGACACTGTTTCATCAGACTTGAGACTAATGCATGATTACACACAAGAGGGCTGAGAAGCTAAGTAGCAGCTACAATAGTTTAAAACATTACCTTCTTGATCCATTTACAACTCAAATAAAATTTACATACCTACTTTTTCATCTTGGAAGATGGTTAAACCACCATCATATTGAAGGGACCTATTCTTTATTATGCTATTCAGTATTATTCTTCCCATTAAATGTACTGGTTAAAACCTCTGTATTTCAGAAGTCAAATCTATTTTTAAAGGTAGCACTATACTTTAAGACTGATGGTGAAACTAACAAAAATGGAAAGATGTTTTCAGTTATAATATTCAAGATGTTTTCAGCTGTATTATTAAAAGTACTTTCAGCTGTAATATAACTGTAACAGTGAAGAGAACAAATGAGAATATGGAGGAGAGCATTAACTTGGTGAAGTCATTGCAACTTTCAAGATGTGAACTACTAATAGACCACGGGTTTATCAAGAGCCAGCTCTTCCTGCCTATAAAAGGCAATTCTTTTCAAGCTCAATCTTAGGCTGAAAGAATTCAATAGACCTATCTCCAAGTATGCAGGGTTTCGTGTATGATCACCCTTGACTTTAAGACAATGAAGATACGAGACACAAAAATGACAAATGTGTTTACATTCTCTTTCAGATATACTAAATAACAAATGAATCTCAAGATTGAAAGGGTCAAATTCATGTTTGGACCTTTACAGGTATATGCAAAGAAGTAGTAGATGTTCAATTGACCCTGGGAGCAGAGACATGGATTTAGGGATAAATTTGGACTATTAGGAGGTAGATCTGTCTGGTGGAGTGTTTATGTTGTAGAATAGCAATGATAAACTGAGCCTCAATAGGAAAGAATTTGAATAGCAGCTAAGCAATTTATACTTAACTTTGAAGGCACTAAGACTCATTGAGAGTTTCAGTATTAATAAATTTGAAAAGACATTACAAAACCATAATGTAGTAGATATACAGGTATGGGAACTCTGGAATTGTACAATAGGATCCATAAACCAGTTGAAACCTCACTATAAGATGAGCCCTAGACTAGAGGTGCTGGTAAGAATACAGAAGGAGTAAAGAAAAGAAGAAAGAATAAATCTGGTGATGCCTTTAAATAGAAGAGCCAGAAGAAACAGTTATTGCCTTGAGGTAAACCATGGTCTTACCATTAGATATTAGTGTATCAATCAGAAGCCACAGAAGCCAATGTGCATCCTGGGAAGATAAACCATTAAATGCTTGATGAATCTGGTATGTCACCAACCTTTTGTTCCCATAAAAGTAGAAACTACTAGAATCTCAATTCTAGTCTTGCATTGTGTGGTTTGTGTATTTTTTTGGTAGGGAGGGGGCTCCTCCACTTTTTAAATCACTAGCCTCCTGATTATGATTTGGCTCCTCAATTAAAGAAAACGTGCCAGCTTGCAAACCAGAGCGTTTTAGTCCCCCTGAGATTTTACTGCTGGTTGTAAATTAATATATTCACACCCTCAGATAAATCAGTAGTTTGTGTTCTTTGGATTGTAAATCCACTTCAGAGATTTGGATTTGCTCCAGCTTTGCTGATATATCAGGTTTCTGAGAGTGCAAGGCCATGAACACAATTTTGGATTGTAGAAAATCCCTCAAGGTGATGAGTCTCGGTGGATTGTGACTTGAGAAACAGACAGCTGACATTTGGCCTTCCTCGGGTTTCCTGGCTGAGAACACAGAACATAGAATGTATGCAAAATCATCTGCTAGAGGATTTATGCTTGTGATTTCATAAGTTTTGTTTTAAGGTTGCCATTCAACAAGCAATTATTTTCATCACAACTAGGCTTGGAACCTGAAAATAGGATACACTATAAATATGCTACCTCAAGTCAATTGGCAAAATAACTTGTCCTTTCAGAGAACAGTACAACCTAGGGGGCCAAGCAACTAAAGTTTGACATAATGTTACATCATTTGTTTCTTCATGAGCACATGCCATCAGTGGCGGCAATTACTTGTTGTTGTTGTTGTTGTTGTTACCTATTTCTCAGGAACAATTTGTTTTGTGAAGTTGTATTGCTGTTGTGTTCACTGTGAATGAGATTGGGTATGTGAGGAACATTTCTCAAAATCTTCACAATGAAAATGTTCAGGAAGTAAATTTGTCAGATAACTTCTTTAAACAGTGTTTGTTATATAAATGTATAAAAAATACCCTGAACACATTTTGGCCATATTTTCTGTACTTAAGTCAAATAGCTCTATGTAGGAACATTAGAAATAACAATTATTCTTAAAAGATAAAGGATATCGCATTATATTTGAAAGTGCTACCATTATTTTTTTAAAGTGGTTCTATTTTGTACAAGCTCTATTATTATCTTCCATGCCTGAACATTTTTTTTGTAATCCTAAAATAGAAGTGAGGTTGGGGGACAAAGTTCCAAGTTTAGAAATGACTGTCAACTTTTGATGTATGTGTATTTTTCTTCTTTGATTCTTGGAGATAAAGAACTTGACATAGCTGGTGGTAGCTTGGGAGGAATCAGGTTTTTGTAGAAATATTCCTTTTATAATTTTTTTCTTTCTTTCTTTCTTTTTTTTTTGTCCATCGTGGGGCTTGAACTCTGGGCCTGGGCGTTGTCCTTGTGCTCTTCAGCTCAAGGTGAGCCCTCTACCACTTGAGCCACAGTGCCACTTCCGGTTTTCTAGTGGTTT